TGTTATGCACAAACAATGAATCATGGAACACTTCATCTAAAACTAATGATGTAATGTATGGGGATTAACATAAGAATAAAAAAAAAAAAAAAGAGTCCAGTCCAGCCCAGAGCTCTGAGTAGATTCAGACCACGATTGTGTAGCTCTGGTTCCTTTCCTTGATCCTGGTAGACACAGGGGCGAGGGCAAACAACAAAATCCTGGGAACACTGAGAGAATAATCCCAGACTTTGAGATGACCCATTCCCATCCCAGGTAGAGGGCCTTATGTTGACCTGGGTGGGAGAATCAGAGTGGTCCTGAAAAAGGACTGACCCCTCCCCACCTCCTAGGTCTTCAATGCCCCAAAGCCAAAGTGGACCCAGCTCTCTGGGAGGAAGTTACAGAACTGGGGTAAGTGTCCCTGCCTGGGGGCATGGGCAATTTGGGGATGTAGGCTGGGGCAGGTGGCTCAGGTTGGTGACACTGGGTGGGTCCTTGAGGGTTCAAGGGGTTCCAAGGGCCAGGAGGATTCTGAGGGGTGAGCAGAGGTTCTGAGAGATGAGGGATTTCCTGATGAGTTGGGGGGTATCTCAAAGTGTCCAGGGGTTTGAAGAAGTCAGGACGCCTTGGAAGCGTCGGATGGTGGTCTCCAGAGTCAGAGGGTCCCCAGGGTCAGAGTGCTCCCAGCCACTGGGATATCCCTAATGGGGGCTGCAGGTGCCAGGGCTCCTCGGTTGGGCGTCCTCAGGACCCCATTGCCCTCTCCCAGGTGGGCTCCCCCATCCCCGGGGGATGGTTCCTGAGCGGCTTCCTCTGTGGCTCCAGCGCTACGTGGACAAAGTATCTGACCTCAGCCTTTTTGGGGGTCTCCCAGCCAACCACGTCCTTGTGAACCAGTATCTGCCTGGGGAGGGCATCATGGTAAGCACACACCTTCGCCCCGACCCTCAGACCTCTGACCCACCATGGGGCAGGGCATTGTGTTGACCCACCTCTACTCATTAAGCAGCCACATACTCCAACCAGGCATTCACCCCCCCATCCCAAGCAGGGGCACCCTCCTTGAGCCCCAGAGGGTGGGGGGGGTGGACTCCTGCCCTGTCCAGCCCTGGTGCCCACTCCCTAGCCCCACGAGGACGGGCCACTCTACTACCCGACCGTCAGCACCATCAGCCTGGGCTCCCACACCATGCTGGACCTCTACGAGCCGCGGCAGCCAAAGGATGATGACCCCGCAGAGCAGGTGGGCCCCGAGACACTGTCCCAGCCACTCGTGGGCATCCCGACATCCCACCTCCTCCAAGAGGCCCCAGGGTACCCCGATACTCTTCCAGACACCTGTCCCCCGTCCCCTCATGGAATGCACCCACCTCCTCCCGGACTCCAGCCCCATCCATTTGCAGGGTGCCCTAGAAATGATATCTGTAGACACCCCAGTGCCCTCACCTGCTAAATCGGTGCCCCAATGCCCTACGGATCCCCTGGCCCCACATGTTCAGAGTGCTCCAATAGCCCAAGGTCCATATTCCCTATGCAGGACTCCCCAGTACTCCAACAGACACTGGTATCCTCAGATACCCCAATACCATTTACTCGCGGGTGTCCCTGACGTCCTCTTAGACATCCTCTCTTTGCCCACTGCACAGGGCACCCCAACACAGACCTCTCTGCCACTCCAGTAGTGTAGATCTGCCTTGTAGGACAACCTCACATTCTCCTTGGGGCCTCAACCCATGACTCGCTGCTCACGGACCCCCCAGATACACCGACTCCCTTCTGTGAGGGCTGCGAGTGATAGCAGCTTCCCTGACCTTTCTCTGAGGAATGCACTTCGATACCTCAGGGTTCACAGAAACTCCCCTGGACACCCTGATCCCAGCTGCTCCTTTTTCGCCCTACATGCTCCTGGATAGGCTGACACCCCCTTCTACTGTGGGTGTCCTCAAACATCCTGATGTTTGTAGACAGGCCCAGACCACACCGGCTCCTCCCCACCTCACTGTGGCCCCTTCTTCGCTTCAGCCAAGCCCTCAGTCCAGTTCCATCCAGTTTCCTAGGACTACCGAGCCCTGGGTCCAAGCTGCAGCCAAGGGACTGCTGGCCCTTGCCCCCCACCTGCGCCCACTAACCGAGTCCCGTAGGATTTCCACTCCAGAGCTTCTCCCAGGGAGCACGCTTGCCCCTCAGCCTTGGCCCCTGGGAACTCGCTGACCTACTCACCGCCCCCTCCCTCACCTTTAAAGTTCCCTGATCACTCTAAGCCCCTGACTTCTGGGGACCCGCTGACCTTCAGCCCGCCCCGCAGCCCCGGTCCCCGCCCCGGCCAGCTACCTCGCTGCTGCTGGAACCGCGCAGCCTGCTGGTGCTCCGAGGCACCGCCTACACGCGCCTCCTCCACGGCATCGCGGCTGCCCGCGTGGACGCGCTGGACGCCACCTCCCTGCCGCCCAATGCCGCCGCCTGCCCGTCGGCGCGGCCCGGAGCCAGCCTGGTGCGGGGCACGCGCGTCTCGCTGACCATCCGCCGCGTGCCCCGCGTGCTGCGCACCGGCCTCCTGCTCGGCAAGTGAAGCCAGGCGCCCGGCCCGCTCGCATTCCCCGGCTCTGCGCCTCTTCCCTCCTGGCAGCTGCGACCCTGTGACCTTGGAACCCTGGGGCCGAGGCGGGAGACACCCCTTCCCCCGCCGCGGGTTATCTATTTTCCCTGTAACTTGGTGGAAACTACAGGAAGAGGTTGCATTTCAAATAAACCAATAAAAATCTCTGGTTTCGGATTGGTGGGGGGCAGATGCGTGGGTTCCTGAGGGGCAGTGTCTGGGACCTTGGATGGTGTGGGCCCTGGGGTCAGATGTATGGGCCCTGAGTGGGGTTAGAATCCAGGACTCTTGGGTCAGGGTTCTATCTGGAAACCCCTTAGGTGGGATGAATGGGGTGAGCCTAGGTTCAGCTAACTGGCCTGCTCGGGAGGAAGGAGTTAAATGGTACTGCTGTCACCTGAGCTGGGCATCAGGTTACCTGTGTCCAGGTTCTGCTTGTTAGAAGGTAGAGCTGAGCCTGCTCCTGGGCCTCTGGCTGCCCAGGAGCCAGGGAAAGGGCTCTCACTGGGGATCCTCACTGACTCTATCCCCAGGCTCCCAGCTATGGCCCTGCCCCCACCTCTGGGCCCTAGACTCCCCTCAGAGCCCCTCAACCACCCCCCTGGAGCCCCTAGGGAACTGGACATTGTTGGATGTACCATCTGCCCTGCATCTGGAGAGGAGAGAATCAGGTAGGGGCTGGGGCTTTTGAAACTTGGGTCCCAAAAGGGTGGGGGCAGTAGCGGGCGCATTTTGAGGGTGAGAGGTACTGTGGCTATGATCACCTAGGGACGTGGCAGAGGGAGCTGCGGACAGGGGTGAGGTAGGGTGGATAATGGGCATCTAGGCACCCAGAGGCCTGTCAATGCTTCATACCTCCCAGACCGGACCAGGCCCAGAAACTGGGGCAAGACGCCTTGGACCTTCCCCAACACTTCCAGGGTGGGTTGAGGGGCACTGAGCCTGCTGCTGGTCCCCTCAGATTGCCAACACCCTCTTCCAGTGAGGACCCAGCTGGGGGCAAACCGTGTGAGGTAAGCTGAGGTGATCCAGGCCCCTTGTGGCAGCCCCCACTTCCTCTCCCCCAGATTCTGGGGATGAGATGATGATTCTGGAAAAGCGTTGGGTATCTGTGGGGGGGGGGCGGGGGATGCTCTAGAAAATGACTTACCAATCACAATAGAAGATTTTCATTATTTTACCAACTGGGAGAGAATTATTTCATCACTGACTCTGGTACAGTCCCATTCCTTGTGGGGATATCCAGCTCCATCACCCCTCCCTGTCCAGGCCCCCAGGCCCCATATGTCCATGTTTCTAGGAGCCTTGAAAACCTGGAGGCTTTGAACTAGAGGTCTTCAGGCCTGGTTCCCCCGGGAAGGACTCCAGGTGGCAGCCACCCTGGTGCAGACCCAGAGATGGACGCTGCGACAGGAGGAGCAGCAGAGCGGTGGCCCACCGGCCCTAACTCAGTCCCCTGTATTCCCCAGCACCTCAGCTCCGGCCAGGAGGTATTGGAGGCCGAGCAGGACAGCCTAGCCCTATGCCTGCTGGGGCTAGGCCTCCGGCTGCAGGACCAAGAGCAAGGCCTGGGGCCCTGGGCATCAGCCCAGAGCAGGATGGGCCAGCTGCAGGTGGGCAGCGGGAGGCCAAGATGTGGGAGGGTGAGCAGGGCCTCAGGAGTGGGTGCCAGCTTCCTGGGCTGGGAAATGGGTTTATTCCACGTGCCAGGTGTCTGGGTAGGAAAGACAAGAAGGGATGTAACTCCAGGTCCCAGACCTCTGGTGCTCCTGGTGTGTGGGGGTACGGGTGGGGGGGTGGCGGGTGGTGTCTGACCTTGTATCCCCAGGCCCTCCAGGCAGACCTGCATGGGGCAGCTGAGCGTGTAGATGCCCTGCTGGCGTTCAGTGAGGGGCTGGCACAGCGGAGTGGGCCTCGGGCCCAGGCATCGCTGGAGCAGGTCCTGAGGGCCCTCAGAGCCCACCGAGGCAGCATCTTTCGGCGACTGTGGTGGCTGGAGGCCCAGCTGGTCAGCTCTAGCCTGGTATGGCCCACCCTGGCAGGCCCCGCCCCAGGTACCAATTCCACATCCCCCATGACTCTGTCCTCTGACCAGGTATTTGAGGAGGCCAGCCCACTGGATCAGGACTTGGAAGTCGAGGGGGACTTGGACGGGCCAGGACCTGGTGGGGTCTGGGGGCCCTGGGCACCCAGTAGCTACCCCACTCCCGCAGAGTTGGAATGGGACCCGGCAGGGGATGTTGGAGGCCTCAGGCCCTTGGGGCAAAAGACAGCCTGGACACCAGGAGCTCCCTGTGAGCTGTGTGGCCACAGAGGCCCCCAGGGCAGGGGACAAGGTCTTGAGGTGAGAGCAGGTGGGGGATACCCCCTCCCCCACAGGCACCCTTGGGACACCTCTGTGTGTCTCTTATTAGGGTACTTCTTGGTGGCTCTGTCTCTCCCTCAGTCTTTCTCAGTGTCTCTTTCTCTCTTGCTGTCTCAATGTTGTCCTCCCTCCCTCCCTACCCCCCTGCCTCTCTTGGTCTCTGTGTCTTCTCTTTTCCCTCTCGTGGTCTCTATCTGCACTTCCCCATTGCCCCCGCTCTCCCTCACTCTCCCCTCTGCAGCCACGTTAGCCTCCTTGTTCTTCATTCCAAAGTCACTCCTATCTCAAAGCCCCCAGACTCATGCCCCTTCATCTCACTTCATTCCAGTCTCTCCCCAAATGTCACAAAAAAATTTTTTAAATGAGTTTTATGCCCAACGTGGGTCTTGAACTCACAACCCTGAGATCAAGAGTCACATGCTCTACCAACCAAGCCAGCCAGGTGCCCCTCCCAAATGTCACCTCTTCAGAGAGGCCTGCCCTGACTTCCAAACATGATCACTCCTTAACCTCTTTATTTCCTAACAGTACTTACCACATCTTGTCATTGTACATTTATTTATGTGTAGTCTCTCTCTGCTAGAATATAAGCTCTGTGGACACTAGGACTTTGCCTGTGTATAGGTTCTAGAACAATGCCTGGCATGTAATAGACACTCATTAAATATTTGTTGAATGAATGAATAAGTAATGTCTCTTTTCTCTTGGTTTCTTCGGCTCTGCCCCCTCTCTTTCTCTCTCCCTGAGATCTTTTTCTTCCCCCAGAATCTCATCTCTGTGACAAGCCTGTCTTGGCCCTTGCCCAACTTTGTGTCTGTCCCTAGTTCTCCAAGGACCTCACACCTCTCTTTCCCCACAGGACATGCTCATGTCGGGCTTCAACCACCGGAAACACTTGGCAGGTCACCAAAGATGTTCCCTGCTCCAGAAGTCTCAGGTGAGCAGGTCCTCAGCCAGGGCTATCACTCGGGTATCTTGATGGCAAGTGACAGAAACCTAGCCCAAATTGAATTACACAAAAGAAAGGGATGCTATTTTTTCATGTAAGTGAAAAGTCCGGGTGCTGCTGAAAAGATCTCAGGTGCTATCAGGGCTCAGTCCTTCCCTCTCTCGGGCTCTTCTTCTCCAAGGTGGTTTCCTTCTCAGCAAATGGCGGCCCCAGCAGCTAAACACTCACATCCCACTGGTTCACCCACCCAAGGAGAAGCAGAGCGCCACTGACCTACTGGCAGCAAAGTCCCAGGGCTGACTCCCACTTGGCCAGCTTGGGTCATGACCTACACCCTGAACCAATCACGGTGGCCAAGCTGATGGAGTGCTCTCATTGGCCAGATCGGGCTCACATGCCCAGTCATGGAAGTGGGGAGAGCCCGAAGGCCTGAGGGTGGGGAGGCAGGATGCCCTCCACCCCCTGCACACATCGAGCCACCGTTATCAGGAAAAGGAAGATTGGATGGAGGGCAGGCACAGATATCCACCCCACTTGGAGATATTCCAAGCCCATGTGGGTTGGGTCCTGAGGGTTCAGGGGGCGCCAGGAAAGGAGGAAAAATAAACTCAGCCCTGTAGGTCTGTAGTAGTAAGGAAGAGTCCAGACTAAGTGTTACTTCCATCCATTCTGCTGCTGGCTGCTGTCTCCCCTTAGGACAAGAAGCAAGCATCTCCCAATCTCCAGGACTTGATGTTGGAGGTAGACCCCGGGTGAGATGCCTGGGAGATGGGTCTGGGGTGGGGTGGGGGGGGAGCAGGGCATGATCATGGTGGCAGCGCACCATGCACTTAACACTGCATTTCCCTTCACAGAGCCCCTCCTCCTGCATTCGGGCACTCCCTGACCTTCCTCCTCCTCCTCCTCTTCCTTCTCCTGGTGGGTGCCATGTTGCTCCTGCCACCTTCAGGGAGCTCCTGCTGCTGTCCTGCCCGACTGACCAGGACACCTTACCTGGTGCTCAGCTATGTCAATGGTCCCCCCCCAATCTGAGTATGTAGCCCAGACATATGTAATAAACGGTCACTGTCAAATGATGTGTCTTAGTCCGTGTGGTCTACTGTAATAAAGTCACAGACTGGGTGGCTTATAAACAATAGAAGTTTGTTTCTCACAGTTCTGGAGGCTGGGAAGTCCAAGATCAAGGTGCCAGCAGATTGGGTATCCGATGAGGGCTGCTTCCTGCTTCACAGATGGTCGCCTTCTCGCTGTCTCCTTACATGACAGAAGGGGCAGGGAGCTTTCATACGGTCTCAAATCCCTTCCATGAGGGCTCCACCATCATGACCTAATCCCTCCCTAAAGGCGTCATCTCCTAATATTATCACATTGGGGGTTAGGATTTCAGCATATGAATTTTGAGGGGGCACATTCAGACCATAGCAGAATGTGCGAAGATATTGGGTGTCTGAGTTCAGAATTTGGGATACAGCTCTGATGTCTGGACAGCCCGCTCCACAGATCCCTTTGCTTTGAGTGTACAACACAGAACGAAATCACCCCATCTTGGATCGGGGTCCCCCAGCCCCTGAAACAAAGATTCAAGCACAAGTAGTTTATTGGGGAGGTGACCCCCTAAGCAGACTGATTAGGGGCGTGGGGGAAGTGAGCCAGGGAAGGCAGTTAATGAGCTGGTTGCTGGGCATCTGGGGCTCCATCCCACTAGGGACCTCTGGGAGAGTCAATGGAACACACTCAAAGTGGTTCCACCCAAAGGGTGAAGAAGTTGTGGCATTTATGTACCAGCTTCTGTGTCTCATTGGTTAGGGACTGTTCCTGGAGATGCCAACTCCCCAGCACATCCCGCCTCTCCTGCCTGTCTAGGCTCCGCAGGCAGAGAGGCACAGGTGCTTGCCCCAGGAAGCTCGAAGTGTGTGCGGGAAGCATGCAGGTGACGTGGGCCAGCTGCCGACTCCTGCTACAGCCCCTGTCCGGCATCCATACAGGTGCTCTGTTCAAATATTCTACATGGGGGCGGGGGCGCCTGGGTGGCTCAGCTGGTTGAGGATCTGCCTTCGGCTCGGGTCATGGTCTCAGGGTCCTGGGATCCAGCCCCGCATTGTGCTTCCTGCTCCACGGGGAGCCTGCTTCTCCCTCTCCCTCTACCTGCTGCTCCCCCGGCTTCTCTCTCTCTCTCCCTCTGTCAAATGGATAAATAAAATCTTAAAAAATTCTACATGGCGGTCTCCCAGACTGGGCCATCCCTGGTGTAGGACTATGAAATCCCACTTTCCCGGGGTCTTGACGACACCAAGCTGAATTGCGAGGGCTTGGTCCCGGAGTCCAGTCCTCAGCCTCAGGTGTCTGAGCTCATCCTCTCCTCGGAGTTTATGCAGTCAGGACAAGAGGAACAGGACCAGACTCAAGAACAGAGGCAGGAGCCCTGTGCCAGGCTCCTGGATGTGCACTAAACACACGTCCCTTCTTTAATGCTCACAACCACCCAATGGTGTGTCCCCACTTAACAGAACATGAAACTGAGGCTCTTGGGGGAAGAGAGGAAGCCTCTAGCTCAAGACCACACAGGGAGCAAGTGGCTGAACCCAATCCCCACTGATGTAAGCAGAAATGGGAACTAATTTGTGGGTAACTGAAAAAAAGTTCAGGCCGCAAGTACCGTTGGGTCCAGGGGCACACATGGTATTTCCATCTCTCAGTTCTTTCCACTGGTTTGACTTCCCTAGTGGTAGCCAGAGTGCCCCTCAAAGCCTCCAAGCACACATCCCACCAATTTAGCAGCCAATAGGACTTCACTCTTCCCTTACAGCTCCAACCAGAGTCCCAAAGCTGGCTCCCCTGGCCAGTGTCACCTGCTCCCCTGGCAGCTGCAGTCAGCCCTCCTAAACCATGTGTACTGAAAATGGGGGGGGGAGCGGGTCTACAAAGAAAACTGGGGGGCTGTCACCATAAGGTGGAATGGACACCGAGGGAGGGAGGCAGGGAGCAGCAGATTCCAAGAGACTCCAGGTTCAGGGAAAAACCAGAACGCAAACCAGGGTCTGTCTTGTTTCCACACCAAGTCTCTGTCCCCAGTCAAGGAAGAGCCATGTCTCCCTAGAGTCACCACACACAGTGTGGGCAGAGTCTTGGTAATACTGACCCAACTGATTGGGTAATGGAACAAGTCTGTGCCATTCATTTATTCATTCACTCAAAACTGAGTGTCTGCTTTGAGTCAGTCAGTTCCTGGTCAAAGAGCAGGACTACGACAGTGAACAAGACAGGTGAAAATCCTTGTCCCTGTGGGGCCAACATTCTAATGGAGGCAATCATCAGTCAATAAAAGGACTAGATAAAATATGTAACAGGTCAGATGGTGATTAAGTGTTAAGGAGAAAACTAAAGTAGGCAAAGGGAAAGGGGATAATTTAATTAGGGCAGTTGAGGAAGGCCTCAGGGAGACAATTATGTCATTATGTTGTAATTATGTGATTAGGGTAAATTGTAGTGAGGAAAGAAGCCACAGGACTCCTAGAGCAGTGCTGTCCCAGACAGATATAATGTGAGGCACAAATATAATTTTATTATTACTTTTTAAAGGAGATAGAAGTTTACTGAATACACCACAGTGGAGCAGTGAGCAGGACAGCAAAGGAGAGACTCTGCTAAGAGGCGGTGGTGAGGGGCTATAGTTACAGGGTGGAGTGAGAAAGTATGGGAATGTATGGAATTTTCCCCTTTTTGGTAATTGTGCCTGCTTGAGGTAGCCCATTGGTCAGTGAGGGCCTATGATTATTTCCAGGTGGGTCACTTAATGAGCCTTTTTGCATTCAGCTTGGTGGCGGCTGTGGGCCCTGTTGCCTTGCTCAACTTTCCATCGCTCAAGGCTGTTGCCTAAAAGTGGCCTCTACATACCACCCTCCCCCACCCCAGGGCCCCCAGCCCCCAGATCTGGCATTTGCGTGGAGGGCCCATCTCCATGGGGCACCTGGGTGGGTCAGTCAGTTAAGCATCTGCCTTTGGCTCAGGTCATGATCTCAGGGTCCTGGGATTGAGCCCCGCATAGGGCTCCCAGCG